CATTCTTATTCAGTAAACGTAAATTACATTACCGCGTGTGCGGCAAATTAAATACGTCAGTCTACTTGGAATGAGGGCGGAAAAAAATATCAAATAAATGAACCGTTATTATTTTTGAAAAGTGTCGAACATTAGCATGTGGTTCACTGCCTTTCGTTCCTTTCAGTAAAATGCGAGTGCAAATTTGACCTCCTCCAAATAATACTGCTCTTGTAGAAGAGCGAGTGAGAGAGAGAGAATCCGCGAATTTATAGTTTGTATACGTTCAACGGCTCCAGATAGCAGCCGTGACCTCAATGAATATATTTTATTTATCCAGACCCATGCAGTTACAAGCCTCCATTCCAGCTCGTCCATTTATAGTGCTGTTCGCACGCCACGCAGCCTCTCACAATAATCTAAGTGGCAAAATAGAAATTCCCTTTCATCACAGCTTTTGCATTTCAAATTTACAGAAATAAAAAAAAAAAATCTGCTGCAATAAGAGCCGCAAATTTGTTGGAACATCCTCTCTGTCAATTTCACCTGTGAGACTGATTTCCATTTCAAGCTTTCAACTAGCTCCCTTTTCCACCCCAACTTCAATGTAAAAGTTCAGAATAGTTAATCTGTTTTCAAACGATGAAAACTAATTCTTGGGATATTTTTGAATTTTTGGGAGCAACAAGTGGAAAGAACATGTGCAATCCTGCCCCAAAAATATAGACGGATTATTATGCGTTAGTCTCATCATCCACAATGTACAGATTGTGAATATGAAATGATATTGAAAAACCTATGTTGCAGTGTGGTTTTCAAAATAACATCAAACAACGGCGGGCCAAGCCAAACAACCTCAGCTACACTGATGGGTCCTTCATGCAGTGTGACTCAAAATTTAGTCGCGTTTAAAATTTCCTTTGATAAGTACAAAATAGACATTGTCGCGACAATAAACATATTAAATAAAGTTTTAGTTTTCACAAATGTTTGAAATTTCATATTCTGTTATTATGCATATCCACACATTTTATATATATATATATATATATATATATATATATATATATACACATATATATATATATATATACACACACACATTCATATGTACTTATGCACACACACTCATCCTAAAATGCACCATATACAGTTTCTAACAGACCTTATTTTCTGTCATCACCTCTGTAAAAGCTAAGTTATGGAAAAAAACACGATAGTGTGTAGCGTGACGATGTTGGCTAAAAGCAGCAGCATCAATAGTGAGTGACCCCCCAACCCGGACAACCACAAACTTTCACTACCACAGGGTCCACTTTCCGCTCCACTGGAAAAAAAAAAAAAAAAAAAAAGAGGACACAGACCCCCAGGAGGGAGGCAGTTTTTCCCTTTCGCATCTTGAATTTCACTTTTCCTCTCCGAGCTGCAGCATATCGTCTTTTTTTGTTTCGCTGTCGACTCGGTGCTCTCCTGTACAGTATTAGAAGCGATCAGAGATGTGTCGTGCGATGCTTGTGAAGTTTGGTCATAATCTTTGCACTTCAATTGTGCTCCATGAAAAATAGTGTCGTATAAGCCGGAATACATCCGAGGACATCTATATGTAAGACGTCTGGGTGGGTTGAGGCTGTACTTATCCGCAAAAAGCAATAAATTACAGGAGTATTTGCAAATGTACTATAACAATAACAACCCAAACGCTTAACATAATAGTGTGAGGCCTTGATTTGTGAACTGTCTTAAGAACTTTTATGAGCAGGACAGGAGAAAGTCCATCTGGTGAGTATTTAATGTCAGTCTTTCAGCCGCCATTAAAAGCTGTCCCATACGTCCCTCTTGGCAAGGAGGACAGGGCAAGCCGTAAAGCAGACCAGCTTTGCAGATTCACCAATATTTGACACTTGGGGCTGAAAAAAAAAAAGGAGCAAAGTGTAAAAACAAATGACCTCTAGTGAAGTAAAAATGGGGGAGGTTTCTGTCTCGGCGAGGGTATTAACGTGAGTAAAAGCTGAAGCGTCTCCGGCACTTCAGGGCTTTATCTGCATGAGAACTTGCTTGATAGGCTGATGGAGACATTTTTGTCGCCGTTAAGTGTCTGAGGATGACTTAAAGTGTCGAGGAGGGTAGACCGCGGCATAAGTGAGCAATTGTTTGAACAATGCAGGTGATAAATGGAAAAGTTAAGAGGCGACGCAGGTTGGAAGCAAACATTTTGCACGTGTCGAAAGACCCTGTCAGATGAATTCGGAGATTTGTTTCTAAATAAATCGGACGTGTTTGAGGGTTGTGACAAAAAATAATAATAATAATAAAAAAAAAAAATGTGTGCAGAGTTGGGCGTGGCAAAAACAGGGCGCAGTGACTAACCTCGTACCACCTTGAGTTGTTCCTCTCCCACTCTTGACGAACTTGAGTGCTTTCATTTGCATCATTGGTTGTCCGGCACACACACACACACACACACACACACACACACACACACACACACACACACACACACACACACACACACACACACACACACACACACACACACACAACAATCACTTAGCTAGCAGGCTATGGCCCGAAAATACATCTTCATTTTGAATAGTGTGCCTCATCGTCTGCCGTGAGTTGATCGTACTAATGACATTTATCAGACACTAACACCAGTAATGCTGTCATGTAATGCTATGAATATCGACACTGCAGCTCTGCTTACCTTTTGTTTTTGACATATTAGTCTTTCATGGCATTGTACTTTACTTTGTTGGCAACTTTCTGGCAATTTCTTTCAGAAACATAATTTCAGGTAACTTTTACTCCATGATATTTCCTAAATGTCCAATAATGAAGTACATTTAATTTTAGAAAATCTTAAAGTACAACAAATGTTAGATACTTGAAGACTTGAACTCAAGTAAAATTCCACCAGGTGATTTTAACTTCCAGCTCAGTTCTTTTACTTCTACGCAAGTATCACTTTTGGGTACTTGACTATCAAAGTGGATCATGACAAAACGTTGCCCAGCCTAGCTGGGGTATGACTAATAATATATGACGATATATGACGATACGAGCACATTTTTCTTGCATTATGGAGATAGTTGCCTGTCAAAGAAACATTCAAATCAAGTACAAAGCATGAGGTCATTTCATAATATTTTAAAATTTCACGACATTAATGGACGTGTAAAGGGCTCGGCAGCAAGCAGATGTGTCACTTTCGGGATCATGTGTACTATATTTTATCGCCAAATGTCTTCGTCATCGATGGAGCATTTTATTTATTCACGGCAGCCAGCAGGGCTGAACGTGGACGCTCTGGAAAGCGACTTCTTTTCCTTCCGAGGTATGTTTGTTCCATCAAACGTTGATTTATGACTTCAACTGTCTAAAATGAGCCCTCAATCATCCGCACGAGGGATGACTTCCTCCAGAGAGCCACAAAATATCATCACATGGTCAGAACCTTTAATTTGCTATCAGGCCAAGAGGTTTCCAGTCACCCCGTTGCATTTATATCCATTTCACCAGAGGAACCCATCTCCAGCTTTTCTAGACTTACCCTAATCACTTACTAAAATACTCCTTATGCGTTAGCATAGTTAATTCAAAATTTGACTCACAAGCATGTCTTAGTGAACAATGTACCGCTGCAAGCATGGTCCCTGGCGCAGAAAGACGCGCCTCTCGTGCAAAAACTGTCACCACGTTTGCGAATGGCCACATTATTGAGTGCTTTTTTAACATGGCTGCAGTTGCCAAGCATCTTGGCGATGCTTTCAACAACAACAACAAAAAAAAAGAAGTGAGGAGTGGAAAAAAAAATGCATCTCAAGTTAAATTTAAAGATGTGTTGCTCTTGGAAGGCCGGCTGCACTGCCATAAACCAAGGGAGACATTTTCATGCTCCACATTTTTCATGGTTTCTCTCCGAGTTTCCTCCCTTCCTCTCTCCCCGCTCCGCCTTGGCTCGATACTCATCGAACTGCTGCTGCACCGGCTGCCGAGGCCCGGCCAGCGACGCGCAGTGGGGCGCTGCGGGGTGGCCGGCTCCAGATGCTTCTGGTTTTCCTTGGATGGCTCTCACAGGGGGAGAATCCCTCGGAGAACCCGCCACCTGGACGGCACTACTTAAGCGCTCTTTCAGCACACTTCTCAAATATTGCACGGCCTACACATACACACACAAGCACTCGGTGGATGGCCAGCAGCGATCAGTTATACGCTACAAGTCGTCTGACCTACCGCCCTGTGTTTTAATGTGGCGTGCATGAAGGGACCGTTTTATTGCTGCCTGCAGACTATTGACTTACGCCAACTCTGTGGTAAAGGTTATAATTTGTGGATTGGTTTGGTATTAATTAGGGCTGCCCGCCCTTTTCCATTGAGGCCAACATTTACTGAGTGATGAACATACAGAGAGGGGGATTATGGCCGCCCTCTGGCTGCCCACAGAGAAGCAAACACAAAAGAGAGAATGTAAAAAAAGCTCTTTAATTTTCACATGACCTGTCATCAACAGCACATTTTCACTCTGCTTGCGAACTGGTAGACTGCCTGCAGCGTGATCTGCTGTCCACATGTTCAAAGTATTTTTTTTTTTTTAAAGAAATTTTTCCAACTCAATTACTTTTTCAAGACAGCTCTGTCCACATGAGAACACATTTGCAGGCTGAAAAGAGCATGCCAAAGCAACAGGAGGTGCTAAAAACCCCAACTCGGAAGGCGATTTTTGTGAAGAAAGTAATTTCTGGAAAAGGCAAAAAGAAAATGGCCAATTCAAAGAGATCACGTGAATGGGAAGTGGAGTTACTCATGTAAAAAAAAAAATAAATAAAAATAACCAGTGGTGGACTGTGTATTTGGTACCTATTTAGAATAATTCCATCCACTCAGCGTTTGTTTGTTTACCTGTATTTTATTCTCAAAACGTAGTCAATTATCGCAATGCATTATGGGTAGCAGACGTCGCATTCACTCAGAGTTGACTCGCTGTAGAAAGCCTGACTGTCGTCATTTTAACTGGTCCTGCTGCCTTCGGAAGCAATGGCTGTAAGTTTAATTGTGCTTAGAAGTATTTTGACCCCTGTTTCGGAGATAGCTTTTGTTAAGTGTTATCTCCAAAACTTGCTAGCTCCGGGCACTAAATTAGTGCTAACGATGCAATTAGCATACGAAAAGATCGCGATAATGCTTTGTTTACCTTTGTCACATTTAAAGCGGCATTTATGCCTGTTGTTTACCACCAGACAATTTGTGGTGTATTTATTTGTTTACCAGAAGCTAATGCATGTTCTAAAATTGTTCATTCCGGTTTCACTTAACATTTTCATTGAGTTGATGTCACAGTTGTTCAGTGTAAGCGGTCAACCGACCGTAATAACGGAGCAAGACGCTCAATTCTCTGGCTGATGAGGAATGAGTTGGGCTTGCATTTGAACTGCGTTAACATACCCGTAGTGATAACAGCGCACAATCTGATGGGTGATGCAACTGCCGTCACCTGCTTGAAGACAAAGGTCAAGACCGCGATGAGCTTAATTTGAGGTTTCCATATTTCCCCTTTTTGGTGCTTATCATGGCTCACAGACGCTTGCTAAAACTGAACACTAAACAACACATTGAGAAAAAATGTGCTGTGTGTCAGACAACTATTTTTTTTCGTTTGTTCATTCAGTGCGCGATTTCTCTTTTTAAAAAAAAACTACTTTGTGTCCTCGCGGTAAAGAATTCTGGCTCAAGCTTTTTAACCATGATTAACATATAGTCCAATCATTAGTTAGACTTTTCATTGTGTAAGTCATTAATTTTCTACTTGGTGTGTGCTCATTTGCTCTTTGGGGTTACAGGTGAGCGAGAATTAAAGATACCCTGGACTTTGCTGTTGACCAGAAGAAAAATTGCAATATTTTGTTCCAAATTCTTAATAGGGTGTGAGGATAGGAATTTGCGCGCTAAAGATGCTCAAGCACGACCTTCAGGTAAAGTTCCTCTATATATTTTTTCATCTTTAAGTGATGCATTATTTTCATTGTTTGATATTTTACAAGCTGTTATTAAAGTCGCGGTTGTTTCCTTGACCTGCTGTATTTGGACCACCCTGAGGACCACGAGTACAATCAAGCACGTCACTTGGGTCATTGCTCATGAGCCCCCGTCCCCCCCTGCCCCCAGTATCTGATGGTGCCCCCAACTGCCCCCCCCTACTTTTAGGGGGGGTTTATCAGCCTTTGTGTTATTGTATTCAACCTGGCCACTCTCCACTATGTAGCCTGTGCATGGTGTCAACACCCTAAAGAACACGCACCACAGACTGATCCTGACAAATTATCAGGGAATTCTTCTTCACGGCTCTGCTTGTTAGGGGAGGAGAGGGCAAGAGCTGGAAAATAAATAACACGTCACTTGGGTTTGTCTTGTTCTTGTTCCAAAATAAACAGAGCCAGGCGCAGGGAACTCCGAGAGGCCTTGCAAAGCAACCGCCGCGTATTTCTACAGTTCCTTAGATCAAACACAATGGGGACTGCCAGAGTGCCGTGCGGCCGTCACCACAGCAACCGAGCGGCGAGTGAACAGGTGATTTAGAAAAACTGCTTCTCACTTTCACATCCTTAAATTCAACTTCCTTTTAAACAGATTTAGTCGACAGTTTCAGACGCGGACGGGAGATCATAATTACCGTCCTTATTTGCATCGGCGTGGTTACGCCGAGACCATAATGGTAGCGCTTGGGATTTGCCGTGTCTGTAAAAAGGCCTGCTGTGCAGAAAATGTCTGAGAGCTCTGTAAGCGACATGTGCAAGGGGTGAGAGTTCAGGTCTCACTGGGGTTTGTTTAGGAATACATGACACTGCACAGCTGGACTATCATCCATGCATATTTGACTATTAAACTTTACAGAGCGTCCACACAGCCAGCTGCTTTATCCGAGGAAATGAAGTTATTCCCACTAGTGTTGGGAACCGGTCCACTTATTCTACTGCAAGGAATATCTAGTCAGTTGGTGCTTTAATGCGCACAGGCTGTTGCACTTTATGACAGTGTTTAATGCGCAGGCCATCCGAAGCATGCTCAGCTGTTTATGGTACCGTTTTTAAATAAGGCGTTAATCCACTGGACTGTAAACACCTGTAAAAATCACCTGTAGCAACACAGAGGCTTGAAAAAATATATTGATTCATAAAACAAAGATGTCTGTGTAGATTCTCAGTCATCCAGGGCATCGGAGCGCATACATTCTTCCTTGTTGAAGTCATTTCACCTTTAATCCAAACACCCACCGGCAGGGGCAGATTTAATCATTTGAGGATCCTGTTGGGCATTTTTCATTATAGTTCGTTTTTATTTCGGTTTGCCATTTTTTTATTTTAATTTGGGGAGTTTAAATTTGTTCTTAGAGTGGGTTTGGTAGTTATTATTAGCCTTGATGATTAGTTTTAGTTTTTCAATCAATGGAATATTTGTAGAATGCAAAATTTAAAAAAAAAGTCACTGTGTATTGTGTACTAAAGTAAACTACGATTACCAAACGACCGCTGTATATATAGTTATCTTTGGTTAGTTTTATAAACCTAAGATGTAGTTTCAGTTAGTTATTGTTTTTTAAAAGCTCTCCCGTTTCGATTTTATATTTCATGAATGAAAATACGGTTTTCATTTTCCTTTTAGTTAATTTTGTTCTCTATAATACCCTTGGCTACCCCACATGTATAATGTGCGTTACAGTTAAATGTGCTCCCTGCATTTAACCACTCTAGATTGTTGATGAGCACCCTTGTGAGTGAAGCTGACCAAAAACTTAACCTTAAATTTGTTGTAGTAGTGGAAGGAAATTGAAATAACCCACAAAGGCCTTCGGAGAACATGCAAAATTCACACAGAAAGGGCCCCAAAGTGAGGGAGTAAGACTCGCCTGCACTCAAATCAGGGATACAAACATTTTTCTACTATGCAACCAGCAAGTTATCCCGCCTCGTCCTTTCCTTGCTCTCTTCTGACACTCAGTTGACCTCGCAGCTCATGGTGTTCATCACCATCTGGAGGTGACAACTTGCAAACTCCAATCCCCACACTTTTCCTTGCATTAAATCCCCTTAACATGCAAAGTATCAATTTTGCAATGTTTCCCTTGATACCACCTCAGAAATTGAGATGTTAAGGCGACCCTGTCAGAGGAACGGCTCCAGCAAACGCAATCGTTCCAATTGCCACTTCAGGTTATTTATTTGCATGTTTTTTTTCCTTCCTTTCGTTCATATGAATGCCTTTCATCCATCACTCCTCGACCCCCCCCCCCGCCCCC